TATCCTTTTGACAATTGTAGAGGAGAGTCAAGGAAAAAGGAATTGAATCACATCTAGAATAAATATCAAGATTCACAAAATTTGGATTTAACAGTATACATTTATGTATTGATTGAGATTATGATTTTGAATTATATTTTGATTAGATGGCCATGGAATTTAGCACATTAGCTTTGACTTGGGATAGACCTGAGTTTGAATCTGAGCTCTGTCTCTTGACTTGTCCTTGAGGCTGGAAATCAGCCTCCTCAAAGCCTCTACTCCATATGTTAATGGAAATAATAATACGAACTTCCTAGGGTTTTTGCGAAGATTAAAAATGATCATCTATATTAAGTGCCTAACAATATAGTCACACTGCTACAGTCACACCTGGCTATTCATGGCTCCAATAATTATGGCTAATTAGAAATTGGCTGAAGATTATACTTTTATTAAATGGTTGAATGACTTTCTATCGCTGTAGGTTTCATTGGACTGTATTATGAGCAAGACTGTTACTTAAATGACTCTGGTGATAATTAGGCCTTATTAGATGTTGCAAGAAGGCTTGCAGTATTCCTTGTCATTATCCTCAAATCACTGGACTATTATACTAAAAATAGCCAAATTATAGGTGGACCAGAACATTTATCCTCTACCTTTTAGAAGCCCATACTCTATTCAGTATAAAAAAAGTGTGGAATGAAAATAGAAAAAAAGAACAACCCCAAAGCCTCAAAACCATCATGCTGCATATAATCTTTCTTAGCAGGAAGTTAAAAGGAAGGAGTTGAAAACAATTGGCATAAAATAAGTTATTTTCATTATCAGGAGGTTTTAATGCGCCTATTGTGAGTTGTGCCCATTCCCCGTTAGCCGGGGTTCTGAATGAATTAACATCTTCCAAAAGTGCGTAATATTTTACCAGCAAATAATTTAGGCTGGTAAATTTTTGCCACAGCATGTTCATTGTTTTGAAGACTTATAATTAAGAAGCTTGTTCAGTATTTGGCAATTAAGACAATGATCTAATGAGACTTGTTGCCCAAGCTAATTTCTGGCCCCAGATGTGGGCCTACCTGTCAGCTAAGTAAGGATCCTGGGCTTGAGCAGTCATGTCTGCATCCAGACCAGAGAGCACAGGGGCAAAGGCCCATCAGGGCACAGAGAGAGCTCCCTGGACCGGAGCTGTCCTGGGACTCCCCTTAGGTCGGGAGTACACATAGCTTCCTATTGAAGGACCGTGCACTCTTTTCTTTTCTTTCATAAAGAAAGTTTCCAACCTGGTTGTAAAATGTAAATGGATGCTTTTCGCATCCATGAAATCAGTAAGTACTAGTTTCTTCTTCTTCTTCTTCTTTTTTTTTCTCTTTTATTGAAATGGGAAAGTGAGCATCTGTGATCCTGTTGACTTGGAATCATGGAAGACCAGTGCCTGAGAGAATCTTTGAGATTCGCTGGTTAAGGCCCCTCTTCAGGCAAGCTGAGTTTGAGAGACTTGCATAGGATCTGGAGTCCTAACTCAGGGCCCTGCATTTGAAGGACTGGCCGACTCTTTTGTTGTTCTCCTCCTGTAATGTTTATGTTTACTTTATTCGGAAGAAATTTAGTTCCCTTTCAAATTTTCACCCCTTTCACAGGGCCTATTGGGAAGATGTGTGGTGTGTCCACAAACTGAAGGAAGTCACGTCAACTGTGACAATGGGTGGGAAGAATGATAGGTTACTAATGCCTCCTCCGTGTGCCTCAGGAGCCAACAATCTTCTTTAAGGACTGTTGGCCTCTGCTTCTGGCTCATAGCAGCTGGGACGCCTGCCAGGAACTATGTTTCATGGTGTGAAAAAAACTGGAATGTATACAGCTTCTGGAGAAGAAGCCAAATAATTGAAAACTTAGGTAAAACTCTCACCCTGTTTCGTTGGGTAATTGTTACTTCAAAAAGATAGAGTATTTTCTTTCCCCTTTCCCCCAACCATTTATCTGAGAAGCAAGTTATGAGCAACCCAGAGCTTCTCAGTGGAGCTGGGGGAAAATGATGTGAAATGTGAGGAGATGTAACTGGGATAATGAAACAAAAGCTTTCACAGTATCATCTCTTCTAAGTCATCTGTTTTATTAAAAACATTTTGGTAGCCAATGTGTGCAGTGTTTCAAGAATTTTCCTCTTCATTTTTTTTAAACAGATTTAAAGTAGAACAGAAGTTGGACTTCAAAGAAGCTTTGTATTCTTTGAATATAACTGAGGTATTTAGTGGTGGCTGTGACCTTTCTGGAATAACAGGTAATATGAAAAATAATTCTTATATTATCATGTTAATATGTTTCCTAGTAACTATGTTAACTGATCTTAAAACTGAAAGAGTATTTGGCCCCAGAAAATACATACATGGGAAATAGATGTTGGTCAGGTCGGGCTGTCTGTAAACAAGCGCTCTATTTTGCATTTAAGTAGTTTTCCTTAATGGAAGTCAGACAGCATTTTTAGAAAGTTAGATAAGCCTTCTAACCACACTTACAATGAAACTACATAAGTAAAGTCTTATAAGGGCTTTTATTTCAGCCCTGTTTGGATTTCCTTATCTGAATAATGGGATACAACTTTGAGCTTCTCTTCTAAGCAGAGCTAATAAAACTCTTATAAACCAATTTGCAAATGTTAATTCAGTAATATTAGAGCCCACAAAATAGGCACCCACAAGCTGCTGCGTGATGAGCACAACCTAGAAATTGTAAAGCCGCAGCTTGTGGATTTAGCTTGAGACTGACAACAAGTCAATGAGCTTTTATGCTCACTGGCACCTGGGAAACTGTGCATGGTTAAGATGCTCATTTACACAATGATGCCCAAGACAGTCTTTAATTTCTCTCGTCTTGGCAGTACCCACTAGTCCAAAAATAACCAGAGAGAAAAAAAAAAAAACAGATGAAGAGGGTCAATTTGTTTCTAGTTACTTGCCCTCTTTTAAATTCGGTCTTCTGTTTTATATAAAAGAAAGTCCTAATGATAAAAGCTTGTCTGTCTGATGGGGTTGGGTATCATAACACAGAATTATTGTATATTCCTATATAAAATCTGGGCTTTGGGGAAATTGTCATTAATTTTGTGAGTAAATGAATAGAATGAATGAGTTTTCCTGGTGGAGGAGAAGGGTGGGGTACCCAGTGACATAGGTGTTCATTATCTCCTTCACACATGATTTAGCTGCCTGTTTTCCCACTGACAGATAGATCTGACTTCTCTGACAATTTCATCAGCATCGGGAATGAGACAGTCAACATTAAATATTGCGGCAGGATGCTATCCAAGTGTGGCCTGGAACACAGCCACTTCACCAACCTGAAAGAAACTAAACCATTTTTTAAACACCTTTTCCTCTTGAATTTCTTTCTGGCCTTCAGAAACTCACTTGCTGTATCTCAGACATTTCAAACAGCCACGCACTCTGCAAATTCCTGGCAATTTGTGACTTCTATAAAATCTCCTTTACAAGTGGATTTATCACGAAAAAACCTCTAAAATACTTTATAAAAGAATTTGTGCAAGAGAATAACCCTGAACAGAGTAGAATAAGTGTCCAACATTTTCTGCTCTGGGTTACCCACTTCCCTCTCGAGTTACCTATTCGAGTTGTTTTAACTGCGCTGGTTCTGCCTTATTGCCTGAAGTAAGACAGCCGCAGCCAACCCTGGCAGTATTTCTGGTCTTTGGGAGAACAGTGTTATCCCTACTTACCATGCATACAGTACACAGTCACCAAAGACTGCTGTGAACCAGACCAACGTGAATGCTATGGGATGCTTGCAAAAGAGACATATACTCATGTCGTTCACAAGTTCTGAATGAAATGTTTTCAAAGAAGTATTTTGGAAATTCTGAGACGACTATTTGACTTCTGTCATTACCTCTTGTGTCACCTTAAGTAAAATGTTTAGCCTTTCTGAGCCTCAACTTTCTAATGTTACATGAGATAATATATCCTAATGGTGGAAATAAATAAAAGAATGTAGGTGTATCGTCTCGATCAGCATCTGTCATACAGTAGATACTCAGTTAAATACAAAAAAAAGTAGGCAAATGGCACATTAATATTTACTTGCACATCTTCTAGCAAAGCTATTTAAAGTTTCTTGTCCTTGACTTGATAAAGATATAATTGGAATTTTCATAGAAAATTGAAGGAAAAATTATTACAAAGGTGTAGAAACCAGTGAGTTTATGGAGTGAAGATTCCTTGTTCTAATCTATCCTCTCTCAGCTCCTCTGTGTTTTCCGAGCCTGGACCCTCTCTGTATCAGACGGAATGCAGGAGACCAAGCTGCTCAGTCTAATAGCCGGGGAGTCCCTTGGTCTGGTGCCAGTGCTAAACTGGGTGAAATTCTCCACTATACCCCAACCTGCCTTTTAGTCTTCATTCTTTGTAGGGGACCCTCGGTCATCTATTCTTGCTATATATGTGAATCATATCTTATCCTAGGCAGTTGTAGGGAAAAGAATGTGCTTATTTGCATAACCTAAACAGACCATACCCCTGTATTTCAGTTAATCCACACTAATGATGTGGACGCCCCCTTTTCTCTATCTTAACTTGTTTCTATCACTAGACATACTTACATCCATTGATTTATTTATTTGGCAAGTGTTTAATGTAAGCCTGCTATGGGCCAGGCAGTTTCCTAGAGTTGGACAAAACTTCTGGTGAAGTTTTACATCTGTTAGGGCAGATGGACAATTAACAGGTAATTAATTAGTTAAACGATAAGGTGATAGATGTTATGAATTAACTAAAACAGAGTCATAGGATAAAGAGGTTAGGTCAGAGAAAGAGCAGAATTAGACGGTGTGGGAAGGAAAGACCACTATGAGTATGTGATATTTTTGCTGAGACCTGAGTAACAAGGAAACCAACCAGGGAAAGTGCTGGGAAAGGGGCTTTTAAGCAGGAGAGCTGGGCTAAAGCCTTGATGCTTGACCTTGTAAGTGGAGCCACCGGATGAGGCGAGGAGGGTAGATGAGGATGCGTGAAAATCAGGGGCCCAGATGGAGTCATCACAAGCAATTTGGAGTTTATTTTTAGGAAGCCATTTTTTATGCAAATAACCCTCCACTGGCTTCTGTCTATCTTGTCTGAGGGGATTTACTTTTCTGTGAGCTCTCAGAGCTGGTTCCCCTTGACTGAAGTATTTCTTCATGAATCCTTCTAAATCCAGTTAGTTTTGGTGGAGTCACATCAGCTTTCTCTCTCAAGAGAGACAAAGATCCTTTCTTTTCAAGTTTCAAGACCCATCTTCCTCTCCTCGGCCCTCTTGTCTTCACTGAACCCATGACCACATTTCTGTGGGGTCTCTGAGGAACCTTGTCAGATCTGTCTGGTCGTGACAGAGCAAGGATGCCAGATGGCTGCTGAACTCATGGTTTCACTTCCCCCTTCTCAGGGAGACTCCCCTCCTAGGTCACTAATCAAAAACGCTTCACACATACACACGAGGGAAGAAGGGGGCACTCTGTCAGCTTGTATCCCCACCAGAATGAAACGTGGTTAAGACAGTATCTTACACTGAGAAATTTGATAGGTTTTAAAGCATAGTTCTGAAGTGATTTTGTAACAGATGACACAAAAGCTCTTTAGACTTTCATCACCTCACCAGTTTTGAAGGAAAGTAAATTTTATTCTAAACTCAGATCAAAATCAAATTCAGAATTTAAAAGGCAGGTTGGCTTTGAGGTTGAATACATGGGGTGGGATTAATTCAAACCTGTAAAGCCTTTTTCATCTCATCTGTAGACCACGACAAAGAGGGGCAAAACCCTCTGTCCATTCAAATATTTCAGTTAGTGGGATACCTGATTTGAAGCTAACTCCCTTCTGTTTTTACCTTTTATATCTGGGCTGAAATTTGTCTTTCGATACCTATCTCTCTATCATCTTTGCAAGCACTAAACCTAAACTCATCTTTATCTCTAACAAATTAACTAACTTGGAAAGAGTTTGTTTTTTGCTTTTCTATGTTCATTTGACGTATGTAATTAACCTGGGATCTAATAAGTAATGGCTCTGAATTTTAACCCGAAATGCACTTTCATATTTTCCAACAGATTCGTCTGAGGTATATATTTCCCAAGTCATGCAACAAGTTTTCCTTGAGATAAATGAAGATGGTGGTGAAGCTGCAACATCAACTGGTAGGACAAATGATGTCACAGAAGCTGGGAGGAAGGACGGGGGGAAATGAGCGTGAGGGTGCTGGCACTTTGCAATCTTCTGATCTTCTCCCCTCCTGCTGTCCAGTACCCTGTAGGAAGAAAAAGTAATGGTTATATAAGCTATTTATGCATCTCTGTGGCCACAGCTTAATACAAAAGGGAAGGGATTTGATTAAGAGTTGAGGACCATCTACTAATATTTATACTTAATTGTAAATTGAATTACCTGCCGATTAGCCGATAGGATCCATTATTATGTTTTTAATTGAAGTATAGTTTACAGTGTTTCAGGTGTACAGCAAAGTGATTCAGTTATACATCTACATATAGATCTATTCTTTTTCAGATTCTTTTCCATTATAGATCATTACAAGATACTGAATACAGTTCCCTGTGCTGTACAGTAGGTCCTTGTGGTTTACCTCTTTTATGTATAGTAGTGCATGTCTTTTAATGCACATTAGAATCAGCTGGAAAGCTTTTAAAAATTCTATGTATGTATGCCCAGCCCACATCCCAAAATAATTAAATCAGTATCTCTGGAGATGAGATCCAGCCTTCAATATTTTCTTTCATTTCCCTGAGTGATTCCAGTGCGCGTCCAGTGTTGAGAACTCGTGCTCTCCGTGACTTGCAGCCTATCCTTGCTGCTGTCGGTGTAACTGCGTAGGCCAGCCGCGGCAGCACTTGGTAACCTGTTAGAAACGTAGCACCTCAGGCCCAGTTCCAGACCTACTAATTCAGCATCTACATTTTTCATGGCCTTCTGGTGACCTGTGTGCACGTTTCAATTTGAGGACCTCGCTTCTATGATGTATTTCTTTGAACAAATAGCATTTTGTATAGTACCTATGCTGCATAAAAATAATACTCAAAAAGTAAGTGGAGAAAAGCCTAAAATTCAGTTAGAAATGGAAAAGTCTGCATGACAGACTTTACTAAATAATCCTTATATACCATTAACTTTCCCCATATGTTTGCCTTCCCACAATTTACCACCCCTAGAAGCCAAAATCCCCTTTTCCTTTTTCTAGTCACTTCTTCACAATTTACTACTTCTTGTTAAAATAGCATATAAGCTCTCAAGCCTAAACACTTCTTTGGGTATTTGCTTCTTTGTTGTGAAGCTCCTGTGTGGATACAAAATAAAGTGATTTCTTCTATCAATCTGTCCTTTGTCAGTTTAATTGACACACCTCAATCACAAACAAAAATTATAGAGGAAAAATTTTTTCTTCCGTACAATTGTTTTTCAATTCTGATCACATGTTGCATTTCAAAAACTATTTTCATGGATCTGAAAAAATTATACGAAAGTGTTACATTATTGGCAAAGAAAACATTTGAATTGAGTTAGAAATATTTAATCTAGAAATTAAAAAAAATCCAGTCATTTAAATGTATCCACTCTGAAATATTGACAAATGCCACACTGGAGCAGTCTGATACAAATTATTACAGTAAATAATTGTAAAGGCAGAAGATCTCTCTTTCTAATATAATAAAAATCCTATGCACATTCAAAGCACAAATCCTTAAAGCTATGAGCTCACAGAATAATTTTGCAAAAATTAAAAAAGAATAAATTTGAACTCAGATGTGATTACTATAAGCCTGAAGAATAGAAATAAAGTGCAAACATACCTGGATAGGAATTAAGAGTTGAAACATTATAAAACAAATTATATAATGCAAATAAATGTGAGCAGAAAGTTACTGTTTAAAAGATGAAATTTTCATCTGCTTTCACTAAATTGAGTCTAGTATCTGGCTTTCTTCTTCACTGAGTGTAAATGTAAAGTTAGAATTATCCCATGAATAATCCAATATTTATTCTTCTGCTCTTTGATTTTTAAATTTATTCCAAATTTCTCTGTGTTCAGAAAATGATTATTTTTCCACATGTTAACTCCTCTAGCAAAATGACCTTTCCTGTCTACAAAAATATTATGGATATATTTTGTTTCCTGACCTTTTAATGTGAACATCTAAATAACTGTTGTCTCTATTTCATAGGCATAGACATCCCTGCGATCATGAATCTGCATCGAAACCAATTTATAGCAAACCATCCGTTTCTGTGTATTATGAAGAATAACCCAACAGGTACCTTTTTGAGAATTCCCTTGGGGAACTGCTTAAGTTAAACAGACCTAGTTCTAACTGTTAATTGTAATCTACATATCTGAAATCATTTACTCCCAATTAATTGCATTTATTTTAACTTTTTCAAATTTTTTTTCGGTGTCTATTTGTGGAGTGCCTGTTCTGTAGCAGGCATTGTGTTTTAAGAGCGGACAGGGACCTAAAACAGAGCAGTAGTAACAACAGCTGCCAAGGTGACTGGTGATTTTAAATCCTTTTCTCTGCAGCTAACACCATTTCAGTCAGCTTGATATGATATTTAATAAAGACATAGAAACTCAGAGAGAGGTTATGTAGTTTGTCTAAGGTCATACAGCTGAAAAGTGGCAGAATGAGAATGAGACCTTTTTGGCTCAGAAGTCAACCTTCTTTCTTCAATGTCAAAATGGGAGTGGAGAATTGGGAGTTGTACAGTTGTGAAACGTTTTAGAGGTGGATTCCAAAAGAATAAGTGCCTGTAGGCTCTGAGTGGGAGAGAGGGGTCGAATGTTATTTCAAATCTCTAATTTGGACAGTTGGTAAAAGATGATGCAGTGACATACCAGACGCAAAGGTAGTCATGGATTGAACTGGCATTTGACACAATGGTGACATAAATGCAGATGGTTTTTGTATAAGTTTTTGCAAATTCTCTTATGAAAAAGAGAGGCCAGAAATGTGGACACAGTGAGGAAACTTTAAGTGTATATTTAGAACTCGTCAGGAGTTACAACCCCATGTGAGGGCTCTAAACTACATAATATCATTCATTTCTGTATCCAGCCCAGTATTTGGCAAAGTGCCTTGCACGTAATGTCAGTGTCCCTGGAGATCAAAGGTTTGGACTTGGGTGTCAGACCTGGGCTTATGTCCCAGCTCAATGAATTAATACTTGTAAAACAAGTCATTTACAATTTCTAAGCCATATTTTCCTCACCTCCTATTTGAATATAATATTAATGTTTATTTCATAGAGTTAAATAAAAGAATATATGAAGCCCATGACACTGTGCCTGACACGTAGTGTTTGTTATGAATACGTGAATAGATATAAAAGAGTGAATGACTGAATAAATGCAGAAAGGAAGAGAAATGGAAAAGCTTCTCTCTATAAACTGGTTTACATGGAGAAGAGACAGAGTTAATTTCAGAATCTGAATCTGTTAGATTAGTTAGCAATACTGATATTATTGGCCTCCTAAGGAATATATCAGCCTCTTTTTTTTAGGTCCCATGAAATTAATGCTGAATGAACCTTCTGATAGTTATATCTTGGAAACAGTGGAACAGTTTTAGATTTGATGATTGTTTTAACACAGCCTCAGTTCTACCAGAATTGAAGTGGACGTGTCAGTGTTGAGATATTCTGAGTATGTCATTTGATCTATATGTCTTTAACCTCTGGCTAACTCTTAATTTCTTGCAATTAGTATGTAATTACTGAGTTTGGAGAACAGAAAGAATGAAGCTGCATTAGGCATCAAGGCACAAGGAAATAATGGCATTTAGAATAATGATGTTTGACTCTATTTTCCAAGTTGATGACTAAGGCCATGTAATAGCTATCAGTTAAACATCAGTAAAAGTTCAAAACCCAAAATAATTCACTTGTTTGTTTATTTGTGATACTGCTCAACTATCAGACCCTTAATGACAATTTATACTGTTTTATGATCTTTATTGTAATGAAACTTTCTAAACTAGTGTTACTTCCTTGAAGTTTTGTTTAAAATGAATGGCCACTCAATTATTGGAGGCTATAAATTGTTGCCATACAAAATGTAGAATGGTCTATTATCTTAAGACAATACACATTCAGGGATTTATTTCTTTTTCTCTCATAAATGAACTGAAGAGATCCTTGAGGTTAACGAAGCTGGTGACTTGGCAGGGCATACGAGACTGCTAAGTGGCTTACGACTGACATAAAATAGATTCATTTGACAATTTCTGAAGTGTGAGGATGAATGATTTTAGATTTAACACAACCAATTTTTATCTAGATTTAAATTTTTCTTTTGGTCAAACAATCTTCTTGGGCAAAATCCATACATTATTTGTGCTTTCCCACCAGTATTTGACTTCTAGCATATATATCTCAGTATATTCATCCAAACCTCTTACTGAGCCAAGGAAGTGAAAAACATTTTTCCTTCTTTTAGGTTGATGGCATAGGCCAGAGCTAGAGACTTTCAGAAGAATATTGTAAAAGATTCTACAAGAAATGTGCCATTTCTCAGAAAGCAGTGAATCATGGTTTTAAAACTGACAGTACTCCATACGTAATAAAAAAATACTGTATTTAAAACTCTTCAGGTCTTGGGTTGAAGGGAGAAGCAGACTGCAGGGTATTCATTAAGAAATCTTTTTTTTTTTCTAGGTCATTAGCTTTGGTTATGCTATTGTATTTTCACACTATGAAGTAAAAGCTGCTTCCATCTGATGGAGATGTTTCATAACTATATTTGATTAAATATGAGAGACACCTCTTTAAGAAGTGGGCATGAAAAGAAAAGTGGAAACAGTAATGATTTCTGCTTCAGCCTACCTCTAAATCCACTGCTACTATGTCAAGGGAGATTTCTCTGATCTGTCCAATTTAGTAGTGAGTAGATTGGTGACCGTAGGAAGACTCACTTCAAAATGTGGTTCTGCTTGAGCAAAAAAAAAAGAAAAAAATTAAAAAGGCCGAGACAAATGACTTTTATGTAATGGCCTATACTTCTGAGTGTTTAAAATTTTAAACTATTACCTTCTATTTATGAGGTTAGTTCCTATGAAAGTTACTTTAAATGTTCTCCAAACGACTCTGATAAGCATTTTAATGCCATAGGATTATAAAGATATTTTATGCCGTAGAATTATAAAGATACAAGAGTCACTGGTGATTCCCATTGAGACTAAATGGAGAAGTTGTTTACCATCCTTATCTAGCTGAGAAACTGGAGTACTTACTTTCTTGAGTTTTTTTTTTTTAGAATTATTTTGAGATTTTGAGGCAAAGCATTACTAATTACAATCACAAAAAGAAAAAAACCTGCTGGAGATTATGTCTATTTCCATGTTATTGGTCTTTTAAGCCTGTCTGTCTTTGGACTGAACAAAACAGTTAGTGAAAAAGGGCTTTTTATTTAATCTCTGCCATTGTTATTTCAAACACATGTAAATATAGTCTTCATTAGCTTTCAAACTATGTCAAATTTTATTTTATCACTTCTGAAATGGACCTTTATTACAAGGGACTATAAGGAACGTAGGTCAAGGCTGCGCTTGATGTAAGTCCATTCAGGCACTTCGCTTACCCTAGCTGAAAAGAGAGGTGAATGGATTTTGGCGCATCATTTCTTTCTGTTTTGCCCTCTAGTTCTTAGCTCCTTTTCACTTGCAAACACAGAATGGCTGGAAACAGGTGTTTACGTTTATGCTGTATACTATATCACCTCGGTGAGGATTTGAAAGCACTAGCAATATGAAATATTGTCTTTAGTGGTGAGCTTTGATTCAGAGCTGAAGGAGGAGATCTGAGAAGCTGCACTTTTAACCCCAAGGGCTCATATTACACGCACAAAGAGATGACTGCTAATGCCTTCAGTTTAAAACTCTGCCATGCTCTTCGCCATTTTATTATTCTATGTTTGCCTGACTGAGTCTCTATATTTAGAAAAACACCTCTCTGTCACTTTATTTTTGCTTCCCTATGTGAAAAACAGGACTAACACATTTTGCATGATAAGCTGTTGTGGGTGTTAATTTGCTTCATAAATTATCAGAAAATGATTAATAATGATATAATTATGTATATTTGAGACCAAGGAGTGGGTTTTGCTATTAGATGTTGCCTGTTTACCTTACAGAGAGAAAAGTCTAAGCGATTTGTTTAAATATTAAGAAAAATTAATTATTGTCTTTTTTTTTCCTCCAGAGATTCCTAAATTGTTTTTTCTTTTCCTAGAATCAATTGTGTTTATGGGCAGGGTGAGAGATCCCGACAACCAAAAGATGAAAGGAAGAGATTTAGATTCCCTGTGAATGAAAAGCACAGCCTCAGAATATAATTCCTGGAAAATAGTTGATTGGCCAGATATCATCAAATATCTTCTGTCTACCTTTTTCTGTTTTAAGTGGTGCCTGTATTCATCTGTATTCGGAGTAAATGACATTATTAATAAATGAAATGATGCATTCAATGTTTTTGGTTTCTCTGTATTTTTATACAGTCTATATGAATCAAAAGCAGTGAACTTACATGAAATATTATTGTTGTTAATATGTTAGAACAGTCCATCTAAGATATCTTAGGTATCAGATTCCTGTCTTAGATATCAAAGTTTCTATGTTTGTAAAAGACTGGAGTGTCTGACTCAGACATGGCAGTGTTATCCAGGCCTGGAGAAGTAAGTCCGAGAGAGAGAGGGCGTGCTGTGTGCCTCCCTAGGTACTGCCTGACACACAGGGATCCAGTATCTATGGACAAACTTTTAGTACCAAGAGCTAATCTTGGTACTCTGTGTGTTATGTTTAACATTTGTCTTGTTTCAGTACCTTTTGGGATGTTTTTCTTCTGATTTACGCTCTAAATATGTAAAAGAAAGTAGAAATGGTGAGAACTTTTATAAATCTTTTCTATACATGAAAGTGGCAGCCAAATTAATGTGATTCAGGAGGCTAACCTTTCATAATTTTATAACACTCAGCTAAGGGAAGTGTTAGAGGCAAGATTGTAATCTGCAAATATTAAGTGCAGAAACCTTGCTCTGAATGTCATATCAAGGTATCCAAACTAATACTATGTTCCAATGACTTTGTACAACATGTTCCACAGGTTTTTCTGTTTTCATGTTAGTGATGTGGTGTCCTTTTGTTTGTTTGTCTTCGCAACTATCCGAAGAGAGTTTAATGATAATGGCTACCCACTGTTGAGTCCTAATTATGTGTCAGGCGTTGAGGTAATCACTTTATCTACATTATGTTAAATGCACTAAAGATGCTATGAGATACCATTACCCATCTTCCTGATAAAGAAACTGAAACTCAAAGACCTATAAACTAGTCAAGGCTTATAGCAAATTAATATGGTGGTCCTTATGTCAAAGTTTGAGCTCAGGACTCTCTGAATTAGACTATGAGCATAATCACTCAGTTATAATCCTGCCTATGTAAGTCCTTTACATTCGTACAGGTCTTCCCCTGGAACTTTGTACTGTCTAGTCTCTGAAGTCTCAGTGTCCATCTGCAGCAAAACCCACAGCACTACTCAAGGCATTCTGAAGACAACTTTGGAGCTAATTGTGATTGCTTAAAACCGTAACATAATTGAAAACAATGCTTGTTTTGCCGGACAGTCAAGTTTACTTAGATACAATACAGTAAATGCTGATATATATGTTAATGATACACTGCAAGTTTGTTCCTCATCATGCAACTGGTTTAAAAATATGCCTTCTCGATTTAAGAAGAAGAGTATAATAAACCATTAAGAGGACGGCAGTCTTACTCAGGTCTGTCCCACTTCCTGTTCTCCTTGGATTATGTGACTTCTTACGACCCTCTCCCAGGTCCCATGTTAATCTGCTCTGGAGATTCATTCACTCCTTCCACAAATATTAACTGAGCTTCCATCGTGTTCCAGGCACTCGTCTAGGCACCAGGGAGAGACCAGTGAACAGAACTGACAAGATCTCTGCCCTCACCAAGCTGACAATTTACTGGTGGCAGAAAGACAGTAAGCCAGTGAGGACATAAGAAGGGCTTTACAAAATGAGATAATGTGATGAGGTGACTTCCCAGGTTTCACTCTAAGTACATGTTTTCTTAGTATGTTCCTAACATATTTGTTTTTCTTCAGTGAGATCTGCTAAACGTCTGCCTCGGTTTCCCTACTGTGGAGCCCAGCTTTGCATTGTTGCTGCTTTCTTCTCTGATTCCATGCTCTGCAGCTGGTAGGTGTTACTTGCCTGCTGAAAGGAGAATTTAATCTTCCGGAAGAAGGAGTAGCCTTCCAGTGTGGGTTCAAGCTGAAGATCTCCCCTTCCTCCATTCTAGGAACATAGTTGCCAAAGCACTTCCAACATTAAAACCTTAATCTTCACCTTCATTGCAATGAACTCAGAAGTTATTATAGTTCCATATTACAAAGCCTAGAAGTGTCTGGAATTTATTTATAATATATACATAGGTATTTATGTATTTATGAAATAAAATAAGTATGAAATGATTTTCTCTGCCAAGATGCATAAACTCTTTAAGATTCACAACAGTACATAATCTATGTGGGATAAAAATAATGTCAATTAATAGCCCTTGTAAAAGTTTAATACTGTATATGTATACATACAAATTTTTTTCCCCCTTAAGGCAAAATGGCCATTAAAGTATTAATACATTGTTTGGAAACTTTGCAGTTGAGTTCTACTAACTTCACGTAGTTATAATTCATGGCGTATTTTAGAGGAAGGAGTCTGCTACTTGGGACAGTGGGACCTGGGAGGTCAAAGGCCTGAAACAATAAAAATTTCTTTTTTTTTTTGATAGAATTCTCCTGAATTCATTAATAAAGGCCTGGAAACTGTGAAAGATGCAGAGAAATGTTGGGCAGATTTCATTAGAACCAGTGCTTTGGACCTCTCCCAAGATGGCCTCAGACACACCCTCTGAGGAGCACCTGTGCTGTGGATCCTAAGACTGACTCCACGCATAGGGTGAGAAAGTGGGCTCTGTAATGTTGGTTTGTAAGAACACTTTTTCCCTGACATTCCTTTTTTTTTTCCCCTGGCTCCTGTACAATCATCTCTAAATCTAAAGCTGGCAATTCAGGAGATCAAAAATCTGGTTTCTTTTTGTCTGTGAGTCTTAAGTGACTACCCTGAAGGCATAATATAAAGGAAATGAAAGATGAGATATTTTTCACTGTCTAACCTTGTGTTTTTGGCTTGTCACCTCAATTCTCTGGGAGTTCAGTGTCCTCTTCTGTACAGTGAAGACTTGGACAAAGCCTATTTAAAGTCCTCATTCCAAAGTCCTCATTCCAAAGCCTATTTAAAGTCCTCATTCCAAAGTGTTTGTAGATCTTGGGCTTCTCAACGAAAACATGTTTGGAATGACGTCTTTTAAGTCATTATTGTCTGTAAGCAGTGTTTTTTCATAAAACAAAGCAAATTCCAGGATGCACCTCTCACTAGGATTTGGTCTATTATACTGTTTTTATTCACAAGTTTCAGATTTAACTTTTAAAGGCAGAATACGTATAAAACAACTTGGCTGTTGTGACAGAGACCCTTCCTTACCCAGCGGAGACTGCACGGGGTAGAGCTGTTGCTGGGCAGTGGAAGCCTAGCTGGGGACTTGGCTGCACTCATCTGAGTGGCGCCTTGTAATTAGTTTTCGTTCGTGGAATTTGAGTGGAGGTGGGTTTGTCACTTGTGAGCTCATATGATTAAGAAACAAGTGTCTCTCTCTAACTGCTCTCTTTTCCCATACCAGCTAGATGCCAATGCTCAAGGTCACCCTGGAAGCTGTACGGAAGCCCTGTTAGCCTGGGTTCCTCTATCATTGTGATTCGCAGGTCCTCTCTGCTGCCTTGGTCAAAGCCAACCAGGAGTACCTGCCGGCATCGGACAGTGACGTGAGAGAGAGTTGTATGTTCCTTGGAATTTAAGGGGTTGTTAGTGACAGTAGTGAGTGTTAATTTGGTACTTTTAATGGGGGTGCTTCTATAAAGTATAGAAAGTGTGTGGTGTACTTTAAAGTTGGACGGCAAAAGCAACATCAAGAACACAGACATAGCAGGCTGAAAGCAGGGGAGTTTGTTAAGCTGTGGGACTCTTTGGTAAACTGTTGCCTCTGATAACCTGGGAAGTAGACCCTGTACATAGAGACCCAGTATCCAGCCAGAGACTGACTACATTTTACATCTTTCTTGAACTTGAACTTGAACTTGATAGACTACTTGACCTGTTCTCACCAGTTGGAATATGAGCAGAAATGTTACGTGTTACTTCTGGCTGCAGTGGTTAGAAAGCAAATTGGCCTACATTTCTTTCTGTTTTGTCCACTCTGTTGGCTGTATATCAACATTAAGGGTGACAGTGGAAGCCTTACAAGGCATCTGGAAGATGGCAAGGCTCCCTCAGCCTGGGTCCCTGAATGATTGCTCGGATCACAACCATTCTATTATCCACCCCATCACTCTTGACCAGGGATTCCCACACTGGACTCTACTGGGAGCAAGAAATGCACCATATGGTGTTAGACCATAGGAAGTAGGTAGCTAGTGTTCACCAGAATACATGCTTTTAATATATATTTTCCATGTATTAGCCTGCAGTGTATGTTTTCTTATCCTAGTGCTTGACACCTGATAAGACAAAGTTCTGGGATAGTATTTCAAATTGCCTAGTTCTGTGAGAGAAGCTCAGGAATGATCCAGTGCATTTTCCCAGGCACATTGCTCAGCTCCATAGTAAAACTGTATCTTTACCAAATGAAAGGAAAGGGTGTAAAATGCAGAGAGCTCACGAATGGGGTGCTTTGCTGGCTGCCACATAGCTCTCTTGATTGACACTCTTTCCATAATAAAAAAAACAGCCTGTACCTTCTGGTCACTCTGTGTGTGTGTGTGTGTGTGTGTGTGTGTGTGTGTTTGTGTGTGTGTGTATGGTGGAAGTAGGGGATGGGGGTTGAGAGTATCTTCTTTAAAGACTCGTCCTTGAAAAGATTTTTGACTAATATAAAAAAATTATGCCTACTTGCAAGGGATTAAGAAGTGGCCTAGCTAATGATATGTAAAACATGTGCTCAATGCTTCACAGAAAATGACAGAAAAAATGCTGGTCTTGGAAGATCTCAACAGGCATTTGTGGAAACCAAAACAGATTTTCTTTTGAATTCTATATACGTATTAGTATTAGATTTGAATTATTTGGTTTGTCATGGCTTGTATCACACTATTCATATTCTTTGTATCCATGAAAATATATAGAGAAAAATTTCTGGCAATTAAGTTTCTATTTTGTAAGTAATGATAGCTTATATATACAGAGATCTTACTACCACTGAGTAATGTATATACAGTATCTTATATATCCTCGCATTTCTGTCACATCCTTTATAAAATAAGAAAATTGAAACCAAAGTGTTAAGAAACTTTGCTCAAGGGGACACGTGAAGTATAAATAGTAGAACTGGTCGGTATCCAAACTCTGGCTCTCTGACTGCAGACCTCACCTCTTCATCGCTAAGCCAGTAATTCTCACACTCTGATGTGCATCAGAATTACCTGCAGGGTTTGTTAAAACACAGATTGTTGGTCCTGGCATCCAGGGTTTCTGATTTGGTAGGTCTCGATTGGTTCCTAAGTGTTTACTTTTCTAACAAGTTTCCAGATGATGCTGATGCTGTTGGTCCAGGAACCATACTTTGAGGACCACTGAAATAAGGCACAAAGCTTCTCTTCTAAGATAGATTCTTGCCGTACTCAGAATGATATGACAATTGATAGGATAAGAAAGAAGCCCAGAGCACAAGATTCAGTGAAGAAAGAGGCCAATAAGAAAAGATTATGTTAAAAATACAAATGAAAGCAGGTAAATAAATTACAAAGACGATGACTCCTCATTGCATAAAGAATAAAAGTAAGATTCTGCAGCCAATCTCCAAAGCCTTTCATAATTTAATCCTGGATTTCTAGACTAGTCTTCACTCATCTGTGCTTGGTTATCCAGCACTTTTCCAGTCTCTCATCTTGGGTGGTGTCTGTTAAAGCTGCTTCCTCTGCCTGGAAATGCTTTTCTCTCCTTCTCTGCACAACGTGTCTGTCAGAGTTCTAATTTTGCCTCAGGACTTAGTCCAAGTATTTCCTTTCCTTAAAAAGCCATCAAAGGCTCTCTTGATTTCTGCTTCTTCCCACCAACACCCTCCCTTCCTCCATCGTATCATAATAGTTATTTGAGTTGCTCATTTAATGATGGGCCCAGGAAAAGCTGTGTGTTTCTTAATTGCACCGCAGTGAAGTCTTATTCATCATTGTTTCCCACAGGACCTAGGACTCTGCTGCATATTGACATTTGCCCAGTGAGGGTCATCAAATAGAAGTAATTAAAGAATGTTGTTAGAGTCACCACTTCAAGCATATGTTTGCCTTATCAGTCTATGTGAGGACCCCCCACATTGTAGATAATAGTAAAAAGTAAGAATTTTTTTCAACCGTGAATAACAACGACTCAAAAAAGAATAGCTTAAAATAACAAAAGTTTACTTCTGTGTCAGATAAAAGTAGACTGGAAGTTGTCAGCCCATGGCTGGTATAGAGGTTCCATGGCTGTAAGAGACCCAATCTCCTTCAGTAACTCTATCCCTATGGTGTTGGGTCTTAGTCAGCTCAACTTCCTACAGCAAATTGCCATAGACTGGGTGGGTTAAACACAGACATTTAATTCTCACAGTTCTTGAGCCTGACAAATCCACAATTATGGTGTTCCCTTTAGGTAATATGTCCCTGTTCTCCACTTGCTTTTTAGGCATTTGATTGCAGTGTGCTGTGATATTATAGTCATTGTGTTTATTCTGCTTGAGGTTGCTGTTCTTAGTGGATGCATGAGTGAAAATGTTTAACATCAGATTTGGAAATTTTTGGCCATGACTTTCCAAACTCTTTCTTTCCTCTCCCCACCTCTTCTGGACTTCAATCGCATATATGGTAACTGCCTTGCATCACTCCACAAAATACTGTAGCTTTGTTTATATATATATTTTTTATAAATTGGTTTGTATAGATTCCATTTTAATGTCTTTAAAGTTCATTAATATTTTCTTTTGTAGGGTCTAATTGTCAATGAATTCCATTCAGTAAAATATTTATTTTAGATATTGTATTTTTTAGCTCTAGAAGTTTCATTTTTAAAAAATCCTCCATTTTTCTCCAAATTTTATTTAGGTTTTCCTTTACATCTTTAAATATATTTATAATAGCTATTTTAAATCCTTTTCAGCTAAATTTATTATCACTGTTATTTTGGGGTCTATTTTTCCATTTGTTGATTTTCCTTTTATTTATGCTTCTTTGTGTATGTAGCAATTTTGATTCAATGCTAGGCATTGTTAATGTTATCATGTTGCTGTGATCTGGATTTCATTGCCTGTCTTTAAAGAGACTAAAGAGAGTTGAGTTTTATTTTAGGAGCCATAAAATTACTTGCAGATTAGCTTGATGTTTTCATTGCTAAAACTGGCTAAAGAAAGAAAATTCAGCTATATAAAGAAAATGATAATATGAAAGGGAGAATATGATTTGCATGTAAAAGGGTTAAGTCTTGAAAGAACTAGAAACTGCTGACTGATTGTCTTCCCTGCTGATTGTTAAAGTCAACATAGTTACTTATTTAGTTTTATATCCACATTTTCTCATCTTGTCTCTACCTTAGAAAAAAAATCTAGAATTCAACAAGGAAAAAGTAGATACATATTTTCCTTCCATATTTTATGCAATGTTTCACTGCAATCAAGGCAGGCTACTTCTTAAGCTGATTTCCCTGTCTTTAATATCACCTCGAAAGTTTGTATATGCCCATAGTGGAGAAGAGAACAAGGAGGTAACTTTAGATATCTTTGTAAATATTGAATTTGCCATGAACCCAATCATCTAAGAACAGATAGAATATGATTAAGTCATTTCTACTCTGGTGCATTTTCAAATGATTGTTAGTAGAGGAAATTGTATTTGGTCAAACTATCTAGAGATTATTGAAGAAAGATAATTTGGAAGTGGGGTGTTTAAGCTTCCTCAAATACACCAAATCACAGCATACAGTCTCCTTTTAGAGATTTATAGAATTCTGCAATTCATTTTTGACCAATATATTTATTTATATATTTATTGTATCAGTAGGTTAAGATAAAAAAAGTATCAAACTAAAAAATGCTAGAATAGTTCAATTCTGTAAGTGAGCACTCCAGAGAAAAAGTAATGTTAGTCTTTTAAGACGTTTAATAAAGTCACTAATTTATTCATTCTATCTACCTGATAATGAAAAGTTAACAAACCAGACCACTATATGGTTTGACTATATAAACTTTTTCAGATTCAATTTAAATCTCCCCAAAGTATTTTATGCATTAGCAAATTTAAAAAATAAACTTCTGCCTTTTCAGAAGTTAATGGTATAAGATGACACAAATATGTGAATTTGTTCAGTTTAGTTAAAAGACACAACAAAAATGATTTTTTTTGTAAAAATGTTTAGTAGTTTTTATTTTTTTTTGATCCTTAGGTTAGTTAACATTGTGATTTTATAGTGTATGGCAGTACTTTTCAAAGTATGGTCTGGGAACCCTTGGGAGTACCTGAGCCTCTGTGAGTTCAAACTATTTTTGTAATAATATTATGAAGTTATTTGCCCATTTCACCCTCAGTTTCTCATGAGTGTACAGTGGAGTTTCCATAGGCCACCTACAAAATGTATGATATTGCAACAGGTTGAATGTAGACAGACATGAAACTATAGCTGCCTTCCATTAAACAAGATGTACAAGCGATATGAGAAATATAAAGACATGCTACTCTTCCCTGTGATTTGGTTTTTAATTTGGAAAATGTAGTTTTTTAAAATAAAAATACATCACTTATGT